CTTCCTCCAGGCAATCTAATAAACACCAGTAAGGTCTCGCAGGATAGCTAATCAAATTAAACCGCTGCCATCTACGCCAGCTCTGGAAGCGACTACCATGCCTGGATCCCTCATGAGCAAGGCCCGATTCCCCACTAGCAACTTTGTTTTACTCAATGAGCGTGTGTGTATGTGTAAGCATGCAAAATGATGTCTGGCAACCACAGGGGAAAGATGTTATTACAAGAGAGCCCTAATATAATAAAGAGATGTAATTATTAATATGGAGATATTTGTCTTGTTTGATCACTGTTGAGGGACCACAGATGACAAGTGATGAAATTTCCGACTCAAACTGAGGTGCAACTTGTAAATTACATTGTTTTTTTTTTTCATACTCATAAGCTTGTTTGATTAAATATAGCCTCTCAGCTAATAGAGTACAGTGACATAGTTACCCTCTACAGTAGACATGCGTGTTTAAATTTGGAGTGGATTCATGAAGTATCTTGTGATTCTTGTGACCTTTCCTCTTTTGACTTGGGGTTACATATGAAAAGGATGTTTGCTATGGAAATAGCAGTACTACTATTACTATTGTAGAGGCTTCTGTCTTCTGCATTCTTGTTAGTGTATTGCTTTTATTGCTGGCTGAGCAAAACTGGTTACACTATTACTTACAAAGCCTTTACTTACCAAAGCAATCAGATATATGTTTTTGGCTGGTGAATGATAAAACGTATAAAATGCATAGACTTGCATTGTTTTCCATTCATGAAAATAGTGATGCAATTAAAATGGTTTAAAATAAGATTCATAATATAATAAGATTCACTCTGCGATCTCATATTGCATCTGTACTTACCGCAGCTTTTACTTACCTACAGCAAGTGATTGGATGTGTGATTTCCGGCTGGTGAACGATAACGTATAAAAAATGCATAGATTTGCATTGTTTTACACTTTTTTTAATAAAACTCATAATATAATCAGATTAACTTTACAATTTCATTATACAGTATTCAAGTACTGCATAAGTTGTACTTACCGCAGCTTGTTGAGAAGAGATGATTGCTTAGTTGAGAGTATGATTTTTGGTTGGCGAGGAGAAAATACGTATAAAAAAAAACAAAGACTTGCATTGTTTACTATTTATGAAAATAGTGGTGCAGTTAAAATTATTTAAAATAAGATTCACTCTACAATCTTATATTGTATTCAAGCACTGCACTAGCACAAAAATAAATCTAAGATTAGACTGAAACTGGGACTTTTTTTGTTACTGAAATGTCATTTGCATCTTGTCAGCAGTGAGTAGATATCTGCTGTGAACCCGCTGGAGGACGTCATATGAGCTCCACTTTAACATGTCACAGACATTTGGTGAATTTTATTTGACGTTTTTTTTCATATGCACCTACCTTTCAAATCTTCAGCATTCATTTCAGGCTCTAAATTACACCCGGATTGTGATTCCCGGTGAATATGAATATATTTGTCTGTCTCTGTTTCAGACCGCTGCTGTTTCAAACGAGTGAGCACATCGCTAGCAGTCAAGCGCTGGGAGATTTGATTCCATACAGCACCATATTGCATTTCCTGTTCACTCGTGCCCCGGCTGAACTCAAATCACCACATCAGGTATATACACACACACACACACAGTCGCACTAATGCAGAGAGATGGAAACCTCTTGGTTATAGATCCTCAAGGATTGAGGTTTTAGGTTTGGGTGTTAGTGAGCAAAAGGTTTTTGAGGCAGATCCTGTTTTATTATGCCCTTGAGCGGGGCAATTCACCTCAAGTTGCCCCATCACGACTGTCCCTGTGATTGACCTACTGTAAGCTGCTTTAGATAAAAGCTTCTGCTAAATGACACATTTCATTTTGAGTGCTCAGACTGGAAAAGATGAAGATATTTTTAGTCATTTTATAAAATGAGGGTTCTCTAAAATAGCTTTAGCATGGGCGAATTTGTAGCGCTCTTGTGTACCACTAATACTGCTTGCTTTCCCTTATAAACAGAGAGCGGAGTGGTCAATCTCTCGCTATTCTCAATGGCTGGATGACCATCCATCAGAAAAGGACCGTCTCACTCTTATTAGGTAAGATCTAAGGCTCAAAATTGCAACTCCAATTCAGCATTGCCACCGCTTTTACAATAAACCTTTCCAGTGACACCCTCTGGTGTAATGCCAGTTTGCTCTAATTTAGTTAGTAGTTTTGTTTTCAACTCTTTAACCCATCAAAATAGAAATATCAGGCTTCCCAAAATCACAGAAAACCTTGGGGCCTGTACCATGAAGCCGGATTAGCTGGCTAGCCAGGTATGTTTCAGTTTAGTTTGCACCAATCCTGGCTTTTAGGTACCATGAATGTGGCTTGGCTTTTAGTGGTGTTCATCACTGTAGTAACTTATGCGCCACAGCTAACCTACACCGGGGCAGGTTATGTTCTGGTTTAGAGATCTCAAACCAAAATTTGACCAATCAGCTTCAAGCAAAGTGACACATGTCTGACACATAGACTGTAAAAAAACATGGACGAGTCTGCGCAGTAGAGATTCGTTTGGAGCCAGAGTCTGTGCAGTAGAGATTCGTTTGGAGCCAGAGTCTGCGCTGTAGAGATTCGTTTGGAGCCAGAGTCTGCGCTGTAGAGATTCGTTTGGAGCCAGAGTCTGCGCAGTAGAGATTCGTTTGGAGCCAGAGTCTGCACAGTAGTGTCATGAGGTGGAACCGCGGTATCAAACTCCCGCCCAAACTCCTGCAGACCCAATCAACCATAATGACACGCCCCGTTTTTATAGCATCAAATTACTAGCTAAAATCAAATTTATCACAAAAACAAACAATTTAACATATATCAGCATGATGACAACTACCTTAAATGACCAAAACCATCTTTCAGAAAATTGTATTGGAATCGTAATTAATTTTTTTATTTTGACTCAAGTCCCATGCGTTTACATGGAGAGGGTGGGGTTTATGACCTGTACTGCAGCCAGCCACTAGGGGGCGATCAAAGAGCCCGCAGCTTCACTTTTCAGGACGTGTGAGGCACACCTGGTCTGACGCAATAAAGCCACTCCCCCAGTTTCTCTTACTCCAAATTAAAGGACGCTACATAGTAAACCATTTTTAAAGATAAAACTGTCTGATTTTTAGAGATGATTATTTTTTATAATTATTTGATATGATTTATATAATTATTATATCCTTAATCCATTACACAAGCTAGCTTAGTTTAATAGTAATTAAGCTTTTATTTTAAATTAATATAAACATATAGATAATATGCAATATAAATAAGTTTTAGAATCAATAGCTTTAAACATGACTACATATGAGTTTAGACTTTTAAGTGTTTTATATCTATAAATATGATCAACTCTATAAACTAACTTTACAACTTTTACTTGCACTTATATGGCTAGATGTTTTCTTTACGTTTCCCTCTTTCATGGAAAGATCGTTTCATCTCATGTAAATGTGTTTCAATTCTTCATCTTGTTCAATCTTTTAATCTTTGGTAGTGAATCGCACCGACTCTCTCACGAGAAGTGAATCACAGTTTCAAGGCATGTGATTGGCTGTTCATGACTGATGTCACTCTTTCATGTGCACACGCTCCATTAACTCAGGATCAAGCCTGAGTTGACAGAGAAAGTTAATGATCAGCTTCATGGTACCAACAAAGCCGGATTGGAGTGGTACAGTATTCCTGTAACCCTGAGTTTGTTCAGTCACCATCGTGGTACAGACCCCTGGAAATATCAGGGAATTTTAAACCAAAAATAAACAGTAAAAACAATTAAACAGTAAAAATGCATTTCTGTGGAAATAAATTGCTGTATATTGGTTTATTTATTTATATATATACAGTATGTATGTATATATATATATATATATATATATATATATATATAAACAAGTGCTGTCAAATGATAACGATTAATCGCATCCAAAATAAGTTTTTGTTTACATAATTTGTGTGTGTACTGTGTATATTTATTATGTATATATAAATACAAACACATGCATGTATATATTTAAGAATAATGTTATGTTTATATATTTAATATATTTATATATGATAGAATTTATATGAATATAAATATATACATGTAAATATTTTCAAAATATATACTGTATGTGTGTGTCTTTATTTATACATAATAAATATACACAGTACACACACATATATTATGTAAACAAAAACTTTTATTTTGGATGTGATTAATCATGATTAATCGTTTGACAGCACTAATATAAACCAATATATATATAATTATATATACATACATTCACCATATACATAATTATTGACTGTGAAAAATCACTGACATTTCTTAAGTTAATATAAAAAAAATGTATGCTCAGCTCTATAATTTTTCATTGGCAAGAAATTGCATTTTATGAGTGCAAAGTTCCAAAAAATAATTTAAAAAAATCCCTATTCATAGAAAACTCATGGTAATAATTTAGTAGTTCAGACCAGAACTGAACTTCTCTGTGCAACATCAGCATGCTCTAGTGGTGCTTTGGAGAAAATACAGCAGCCTTTCTTTGATCAGCGAAAGTAGGTAATTAAAATGTGACTTTCCTTTGTTGCAGGGGGGCGCTGGAGGCATATGTGCAGTCTGTCCGAGCCAGGCAGGGGAAGGAGTTTGCCCCGGTGTATCCCATCATGCTCCAGCTGCTGCAGAAGGCCACAAGCGTCTCATAGGATCTGCAAACAGAGCCATGTCTCATCAGAATAATGTAGACAATTCGTCATAACAATACACTTGTCTTCACCAAAAGAAGTCTTTATTATATTTCATTACATTATGATGATTATTTTGTTGAAGTCAGAAATTAATGTGTATAGGTTTACGATGTATTTTTTATGGGTTGTTTGATTATTACTGGCTTTAATAAGAATCCCTACCTTTTAAACTAATGTACACATATTTAAAAATAATCTGTTTTGCTGGGTGCAAAATTATTACTAAACACATTATGTAAATGCTGATTAAAGAATGTCTTATTCCTTCATCACAGAAGTCTCATTCATCACAGGTTTTGATTTATAACTATAACAGTTATATATCTGACGAGTTAGCTTTTCACGTATTTTCAGATACAGAAAAATTGTTTGGATAATTTTTATTGCATTTTTTGCAAGGACACTTACTATAAAATTAATGCAATGACACCTAGGCATTTTAATTGTGATTTAACTGTCCAAATACTAACCTATGTTGGTGCTAGTATACACTAGTCAACATTTGAAGTGAACCTTTCATCAATGTTGTCCTAAAACCAAAATGCGTTCTTGGCTTAGGACAACTTTGATTAACTTTCTTGATCCACTTCAAATGTTGACTATTATATATAAAACAGTAAAAGGAAAATGACAGTGTTGCTTTGAAAAAGGACATGTATTTATCACTATCATTCAATTTTAAATAACAATAGATGGCGTCCATTAATGTTGTTTGGTGAGTTTGTAAACAGAATTTAAATAGACAAACAAAACAAAAGACAGGAATACACTTTTGGATTTTTATTTAGGAAAAAAAAGAGAAAAATCATGATCGAAAGAATCCAACACTTCATGCTTGAAAATTCAACTATATTATATATATACAAGTCTTTTTGTGGCACTGGATTGCACAGTTTTCATTCAGGAGGCTTTTTTGTTCATACACATGCATGCATATACATACGCACCCATACACACAATCATTTTTGTGCTGTTTACTCCTCCTTCACTATGTTTTTGTTTGTTTTATTATTTTATGTAATTCAAAACTCCTTCCCGCTCTCCTGGAAATTTGCCGGCAGAGTGCAAGAAATGACCGTAATAATTTCTTGCACTTTAATATTGCCAAAAAGCGCATGTTCCTCAGTTTCAGCTTGTAGAAACTGGCAACACACGAACACAAATGCTGCTGTACAGTTCAACTAAATCCATTACGGCTGTCGCGAATAAAATAAAAAATGTGTTGACAGCAGCGTTAAATTTAGATCTGCTTAATGTTGCTCCATGATTTTTTATGTGTTTTTACAGTGTTGCGCATTATAACCAATTACACGCGAATCTGTTGAAAAATCATTGAAAACGTACATATTGTGCCTTTAAAAGGGTTAAACACTTGAAAATTTCTTTTAGTCTCTTCAGTGTGATTATATTGTGATTATTTGTTGCATGTCTTTTAGATTCAGACGATTTGAGAGTCTCAGCAGCTCAGATCAGCACCACCGGGGAACGACGGGAGAAGATGACGCGTCACTCCTCCTTTCAGGTCATTCCTGCACCTCCTGTCAATCAAAGGCGGATAAGCTCCGCCCCCAGCACACCTCACAGACCTTCTACAGGTGAGAGCTGAGCTGAACACTTTCCATAATCTTACAGTGTCATTTACATTTGTTGGAACTGTAGTTTAGGCAACGTTTTTTTGTGTTTGTATTTTCAGACGAGCCGGTGGATTATTCTAGGAAGAGTGTGAACACCAGCGCAGTGTGTCGACTGCGGTTTGGAGACAGGTGAGTGCAACTGTATAGAATTTGTATTTGAAGTCGTATTTAGTCGTTTACAAACACTGGCTAAAGATCTAGGCTGAAAGGTTGTAGGTTCAAACTTGAAGCAAAACCATTGTGCCCTTGATTACTAACGATGTTAATTCAGTGTTATATATATATACTACACTGAAAAAAATTCACTCAGAAATTGCTAGTAAATTTCACAAAAAATACAAAGAAATGGCAAGGTAAAACTGAATCAAACAAAGTTTTCAAGTAGAAAAACTAGTATTTTCTTATAAAATGTCCTCCAATAATGGTTTTATTTACAACTTTGAAAATTCATTTTTACAGTGCATTATGGTATTTATAATAATATTTTAAATTAGGTTTTATTTTTAGATTTCCGGTTTTCATTTCAATTCTGTTGTGCTTTTGTAATTTTTATTTAATAAAATTATTTTTTGTACCTCTATTTAGCGTTAATTTATTATTATGTCAGTTTTATTCATTTTAGTACTTAAACTTACTAATTTGAAAATTTCAAAAATCATTTTTACAGTCTATTGTAGTATTTATAATAACATTTTGAATTAGCTTTTATTTTTAGATTTTCAGTTTTAATTTTTGTTAGATTTTTCTTATTAGAACATGAATATTTAGAATTAGCTTTTTTTTCAGTAATTTGATCATTCTTATTTAGAATATATTAAAGGGTTAGTTCACCCAAAAATGAAAATTAGGCTGCATTTTACTCACCCCCGAGGCATCCTAGGTGTATATGACTTTCTTTCAGACGTATCCAGTCGGAGTTATATTAAAAATTGTCTGTGATCTTTCAAGCTGTTTAATAGCACTCAGCAGGTGTTGCATGCATCAGTCCGAAAGAACTTTTTTTTTAAAAAGCGCCCATCCATAAAAATAAAGTGTCTCACATGAGGGGGTAATAGTGATATATATATTATTGAGTATGATATGAATTGAGTATATATAAAGATACATTTTACCATGGTGAAATCACTGTAATGCACAGCCTTGAGGGGCTTATTGGTTTTATAATGGCGGCATCCACAATATGATAAACTGTCATTATGAAACCTGTAATTTGATCTCTGACTTTTGTGAATGTCTCACAGGGCGAGACTGAGAGTCTGAGCTCCAGCGCCAGAAGGTCTCCAATCTGCTCTCGAGAAGGTTCCCCGTGGGACGAGGCCTCGTTTGGGCTGATGAATGAGGAAGATGCGGGAGCACCCGGCCCTAAAGACCCCCTGCTGTCCTCTCATTACCTCTATGTTCCCAACACAGCAGGTACACAAAAACCTGAGCAGTGAATGTCATTGAGTACGTTTACATGCGCACGAATAATGCGATTATTTCCAATAATCAGAGTAAGGACTTAATCGCATTATGTTGTTTGCATGTCAAGATAAACATCTTCACTCTCGTTTACATGCAATTTCCATTATTCGTATTCGCTAAGAATTGTGATTATTTTTTACCACCATTATTCACATATGCCACTGCACAGAACAAATGATGGACTCAGAAAGAGTATAGGTGTGTTACATGGCCGCTGTTTTAATTTATTTACGTCGACAACTTGAACTCTGTTTCCTCGGTTCCCCAGAAATGCGATGCTTTCTTCACTACCATCGTTTCTAATCTGCGTATTAATGATGTCCGGTTTGCGAACGAATCGTTCTATTTAACCGGTTCTTCTTAGTGAATCGGTCGAGCCAGTTCACCAAATCGGACTGAATCGTTTGGAACAGTTCGCGTCTACAGTAAGCACTCATCCACAAATTACGTCCCCATGCGACTCCAGAATTTCACATATAGGCCTAAGCATATAGTTCATCTTCGTTATGATGCAGTTTTGGGTGTTTCATTTTTCATTTACTGAATGCTTCAAGTGCAGTTCATTATTTGTCATGCTATACGTGTGTTGTTGAAGCCATGCTCTTTTGTTTGCCGTCAAACGGTTGACCACTGCCGTGAGTGAATCCTGTCGCAAAATTTTTTATTTTATTTAGTCATTTATATATATATATATATATTATTTCATTTCCATTTAGTTTGTTGAAGTATTAAAATAACTCAAATTAAATCAAACTAAAAACTTATAAAATACCTATATAGACATAATAAATTCAGACATAATTGAACTAAAATTAAAATAAATAACAAATACAAATAATACAAATCAAATGACAGTAGTTTATCAGTAATCCTAAAAAATAACACTGCCAAACACACATGCAAAATGTGTCGAAAAGTCCTACACGATGGCAATTATTACACGACGGTGTGATTAAGGTGTATACATGTCTATACTGCACTTCAATAATGAGACTAAAATAGGGATACTCCACATGTCTTAATTCGATTTGTGTTTACTTCGAGTATGACTTTAGCCGGATTAAGGTAATCAAAATTCTCTGTTTACATGGTAGATTCTTAATTATAGTATTGTCTTAATCATCTTAAAATCGGAATATTGTTGTCCATGCAAACGTACTCCCATCTTTCTGATTACACACTCATTCTAATGATTCTAAATTCTGTAGGTCTGAACGCTTTGAACTTCCTCATGCCAGCGGGACACACACAGGGTGGCGTGCCAGCTGTTGCTATGCCGTATTTTTTGGTGCATTCGCCACTCATAGCGGGTGCAACGCCCACCTCTGGCGCAGAGGGGGCTGCCAGCAGCGGTCTGAGTTTCAGCGTGCCCACCGTGTTGTCACAGGCTCATTTTGTGATGGCAGGAGGAGCGTTTGGTGTGGCCGAAACACTGAACAGCCCTGAGCATCATGGGCACAGATTACCAGCAGCCACACTCTCGCCACAGGGACCACGAGCACAAGAAAGCCCTCAGCCAGCGCAAACACAGGTCAGTTTACTGCATACTGCTCTTTAGTGATGCACTGAATTTCTGGTTTCAGCCTGCAACAGGTAAAAATGTTAATTCCTCACTTTCAATGGCTGGATGAACTGAGATCTTTTAGTCTGTCGTTTCCCAGTTAACGTTCTCTCAAAGTTACTTTAACAGAACCTTCAAAGTTATCTGGTCTTTTAATAATATTCTCAAAATATTAGCACAAAATGTTATTGGGAATGTTTTTTAGTTGGATGTTTATCTAACGTTTTTTTAAATGTAACTACTTGTTTTAGAATGTTCAGAGAACATACAAAAGTAACATTATAAAACAGATAGTTCCGGTCCTTGATTCTGATTGGCTGAGCCACGTTCGAAGCTGTTGTAAATGACTCTACAAACATACACCTTTGTTTACATTTGTGTGTTGCTTGGCAACCTTTGTTGCACCCACAACCGATTCTGAGGAACTACATTGTTTGGCGGAAGAATAATGTTTTTATTAATATCATTACACTTTATTAGCTCTGTTTTATTTTGTGAAACCTTACTACGTATATGGAATAACCATTTTATAAAAGCAATAAGCCCCAAGAAGCTGTGGTTTACAGTGAATTTATAACAGCTAAGGGGTGTTGTTAGGCACGACGCAAAGCGGATGTTATGTTATGTTCCCTTAACCATTTTTAACATTTAAAAAAAGCACACTTTGAATGTTTAGAGAACATTCAGAAATAACGTTTTTATAACTTAATGGAAATGTTAGCAAAAGTTCTTCGAAAATGTTTTTGCAAGTTTCATTTCAGTTGATGCAAGAGCAAAACTTCACTAAAAATTATTTGTAGCACACCTGACAACTATATATATATATATATATTATTTCATTTCCATTTAGTTTGTTGAAGTATTAAAATAACTCAAATTAAATCAAACTAAAAACTTATAAAATACCTATATAGACATAATAAATTCAGACATAATTGAACTAAAATTAAAATAAATAACAAATACAAATAATACAAATCAAATGACAGTAGTTTATCAGTAATCCTAAAAAATAACACTGCCAAACACACATGCAAAATGTGTCGAAAAGTCCTACACGATGGCAATTATTACACGACGGTGTGATTAAGGTGTATACATGTCTATACTGCACTTCAATAATGAGACTAAAATAGGGATACTCCACATGTCTTAATTCGATTTGTGTTTACTTCGAGTATGACTTTAGCCGGATTAAGGTAATCAAAATTCTCTGTTTACATGGTAGATTCTTAATTATAGTATTGTCTTAATCGTGTTAAAATCGGAATATTGTTGTCCATGTAAACGTACTCCCATCTTTCTGATTACACACTCATTCTAATGATTCTAAATTCTGTAGGTCTGAACGCTTTGAACTTCCTCATGCCAGCGGGACACACACAGGGTGGCGTGCCAGCTGTTGCTATGCCGTATTTTTTGGTGCATTCGCCACTCATAGCGGGTGCAACGCCCACCTCTGGCGCAGAGGGGGCTGCCAGCAGCGGTCTGAGTTTCAGCGTGCCCACCGTGTTGTCACAGGCTCATTTTGTGATGGCAGGAGGAGCGTTTGGTGTGGCCGAAACACTGAACAGCCCTGAGCATCATGGGCACAGATTACCAGCAGCCACACTCTCGCCACAGGGACCACGAGCACAAGAAAGCCCTCAGCCAGCGCAAACACAGGTCAGTTTACTGCATACTGCTCTTTAGTGATGCACTGAATTTCTGGTTTCAGCCTGCAACAGGTAAAAATGTTAATTCCTCACTTTCAATGGCTGGATGAACTGAGATCTTTTAGTCTGTCGTTTCCCAGTTAACGTTCTCTCAAAGTTACTTTAACAGAACCTTCAAAGTTATCTGGTCTTTTAATAATATTCTCAAAATATTAGCACAAAATGTTATTGGGAATGTTTTTTAGTTGGATGTTTATCTAACGTTTTTTTAAATGTAACTACTTGTTTTAGAATGTTCAGAGAACATACAAAAGTAACATTATAAAACAGATAGTTCCGGTCCTTGATTCTGATTGGCTGAGCCACGTTCGAAGCTGTTGTAAATGACTCTACAAACATACACCTTTGTTTACATTTGTGTGTTGCTTGGCAACCTTTGTTGCACCCACAACCGATTCTGAGGAGCTACATTGTTTGGCGGAAGAATAATGTTTTTATTAATATCATTACACTTTATTAGCTCTGTTTTATTTTGTGAAACCTTACTACGTATATGGAATAACCATTTTATAAAAGCAATAAGCCCCAAGAAGCTGTGGTTTACAGTGAATTTATAACAGCTAAGGGGTGTTGTTAGGCACGACGCAAAGCGGATGTTATGTTATGTTCCCTTAACCATTTTTAACATTTAAAAAAAGCACACTTTGAATGTTTAGAGAACATTCAGAAATAACGTTTTTATAACTTAATGGAAATGTTAGCAAAAGTTCTTCGAAAATGTTTTTGCAAGTTTCATTTCAGTTGATGCAAGAGCAAAACTTCACTAAAAATTATTTGTAGCACACCTGACAACTAATAATCGCAATTATTTTATATGAAACAAAATCTCAGCTTTTAAATTTTGCAAGTTATTTATCAACATTCAAACCATAAATGTGGTTTTGACGCTCTTTAATGTGGCGTGACCGATCACTGTAGCACCTCAGTACGAGCGGCACATACACCGATCATCTCTTCCTCTTTAACTACTAGTTAAGCACAAAATAAACATGGATGAGCATCAGGTGTTCAAAGAAACAAAACAACTTACTGAAATGATTAATGTCTCACGTAATCGCTCAATCAGTTTCAAACGCTGAAAGATGCTGCTAAAACAGCCTCTAAACAATGCTTTACTTCAAAGTCCATAAACTCAATAGTTGGGAAAAAATAATTCTACAGAGGAGGATTTTGATAACCATATTCATTATACTTAACCTGTCGTGTTCATTATTTGATGTAAGTTTGAATAAATCTATCTTGAAAACAAGTTTTTTGGAGTAGAAACATAATTATATCATTAAAAAGTTGATATTAAACTGCCTTTTGTGCAATTTAAATTTAGTGTTGATTATTAAATAAATATAATCAAATAATTTGATTGAATCATTATCAAATCAACTTTATTTTCAGTTTTTGGCTAAATGAAAACTTCTACTAATCATTTTGGTGCATCATTACTGTTTAAAAAAGATAATAATATTGTCACGTGTATGTTCCCGTTTAGTTCCTGTTTTCCTTATTTGGTCCTTCCTGTTCCTGTCCTCTTTGTATGAATTTGGTTCCAGCTGTGTTTGTTTAATTAGCCAATTTGCTCCCAGGTGTGTCCCATTGGTGTCTGTGTATTTATAGTGAGTCCCGTTCTGAGTTTCTTTGTCCGGAATTGTTTAGGTCCCCTCCTTGTGCTACGTGTGATTCCCTGAAGAAGAATCTTAAACGCCTTTGTTTTGTACTCCTGGTCTCCTCGTTCCTCACTCCTCACAGTAGCAACCCGTGACAAATATGCAATGACAAACATGTGAAATGGTAGTACATTTTATGTAGTGTTTCTGACCTTCTCACTTCTGCTATTTCAGACTCCTGTGACACCAAAGGAAGCGGCAGTGGGGTCCAAATCTTTCTTCGAGACGCCTGGAGCTTTTGGGTCTCTCAGCACACCACCGGCGGCACGCAAAAGAGGCTCCGCCCAGAGGAGGCTGAACATCGGACACGCCTCAGCCAATTAAACTAGCCGCTGCGTTTGTGTCATTATGTTTTCATGCTTCTGTGGTGCTCGAGTGCCAAAGACAGAAACAGCATTACACGGCAAAATTTGACTTGAAATAATTCTCATGAAATGAACATTTCCTGTTTAGTAACTAGTGAACATCAGAATAAGAGGGCAGATACTAGTGTGATATTGGAAATAGTCTGTTACACACTCTTGTGGCTGTTTTCCCGCCACCACTTTTGATAGTATTTTGGAGTTCTTTTGACATCCCACCAGTATATCACCTGATTTTGTTTACTGTTATTATTTATTAAAGTAATCCAGAGGCTAAAATCAACAATCCAGCTTTAGCACTACGTATTTAAAAATAAAAATGAACGAAGTCTGGATTGGCTTCTGAGAAAAAAACTACACAGATCTGCTCTATAGTATGTTCACTATCACAGGTAAACAGTTTGTAGAAGTGTCTTATTGGTGAAGCCGACATGCCTTAGAAATGTATTTGGTACGTGATGCCTTCACCACAGAATGAGTGAATTCTGAGTGTATTTGGGATAAAGAACAAAATAATGGTTGTAATTTTTGACACTGTTAAGGTTTGAGGTGCTACATCTGTGAAACGAATAGGAAACAAAGACATACTTGAATGACCAGTGAATATGATCTGCAGTCACTGGAGCAAAGCAGAAATATCACAGTACTGTACTGTTTTGAAACAAAGTATGTTTATGTTTGAACTGTTCCTAGACTAGTAATAAATTATTTTTGGAAACATCTGGATTGAATTTTGCACCACAATCTATAGAGCTGTACGGTATTTACAGGTATTTTACTGTACTGTAACTTGTAGCATTGAATATTTTGTATACATGTTATTTTTTTGTATCTGTCAGTGTTTAAATGTCTGCTGAATCTGTATGGTGCTTTTGTGTTTGTCAGATGTATTTTCAATCATTTTATGTATGGACACAGATGTCATACATGTAATACAAAATAAATATATGTAATATTGTTTGTTAAATCTTGCATTTATTCTCTTAGCCATTGCATATGGGTATGAGCACAGTGCAAAAGGGCTTAATTTTGTGCGAACACAAGATGGCAGCATATACAAAATAAATGATATGCAAGACATTTTCCATGATCCTCAGAAACAAATTTATTAATTTGTCCTCTGAGAGTGTGATATTAAAACATTTATCAGTGCATCTGTATTTAAACACATGGAACCATGACATCCCATTAACTTGCTAATAATTGTCTTTAAAGAGATTAAAACAACTGTAATTTTTTTACCTTGAAATATCAGTTTCAGCATGGTATAAACTTCTGTTAGCTTCTTAGAGAGTTTCTGTTTCTTTGTCCAAACGTCTGTTCTGGGAAAATTGTAAAGATTGAATTTCTCCTAGGCTCCTCCTTTTTTTTTTTTGCATTCAAGAATTACACAACTTTAATTCCTATGGTTAAAAAAGTTTATTCTAATTACTGCGTGTGAGCATTAATAACAGTGAGCAGGCCTCAGCGGAGACCCCTGATTAGAAGTGTGTGTGGTCTGTATTATAGTTTTGTATAATTATCTAATCTAGATGAACACAGTATAACGCTTGGCGGCATGTCAATGTTCATTAATGCTGTTTACACACAAATACACCTGGCAACCCATTTTATAATCACAATAAACCCTTTATGAAGGGCAATAACCTGCATTTTGCCATTTTTGTTCACTTTTGCACGTTTGCATTTTGCCAAACCTCAGAAAAGACTATTGAGTTCTCAAAAATAATCATGTCTGAGACCAAAATATGACACAAAATGAACAAAACATTGATAGATAAATACCGTAGACTCTGTAAATGTGGCACAAGGCAGACTGAATGAGCTGTCAGACAGATGATGACATCCCAGAAGCTCTTTCATGGGTAAAAGAGCTCACATCAGAAACAGACACATGCACGGAAACATAAATAAGCAAATCTTATGTTTTAATTTCTCACACACGTGCCATTCCTTAGCCTGAGTGCAGTTTTACCATAAAAGGAGGACAGACAGAATACTACATCTGTTTTTCATTCGCTCTTTCTTTCCAATCTTGTGCCTTTCACTATAAATTCCTTCTTTTGGTGTTATGTGCATTCCAGATGAAGACACTGGAAGAAATGACAGCGTACTTCTGCGCTGCTGTATTATCCACATAAAACAGCAAAATGTGTTTTAAAATATGAAATTATGCAATGTGCACAGTACTTTTTTTCCTATTGTTTTTTTTTTTTCATTTGAACCTAACAAACTTCTTTTTCAGAAATGTTCTGCTTGAAAAGTGTGCAAATAAACACTTGACTTGGTATTCTATGTTTACACAGTGACATTCAATGTCCAAATACTTTCTGGGGTCAATGTTGGTCAACTGTATTGATGTCAAAGTGTATCAGCTCCCAAAATGACAAGTGATGCATGCTGGGTAATTACAGGAGCTGATTAATGAGTCGTTCATCATGCAGCTCTCCCACACACAGTCTTTTTACCACCACACCTCACACATCGCAGAATGAAAGTGTCCTCAGTGCTCAGTTAATTAGTATAATTAATGATACCTGTCTGTGTGTTATGGCGGAACCGTCAACATTATTCATATCAAATGTGCACTGGATGCAATATTATGGACAATATTTCCAGAAATGAAATGAAACTTTAACACACTTTAAATGTGTTAAAAATGTGTTTTCTTGCTTAGCCTATATACAAACATTAAGGGAACATTCCATTTGATCATTTTGCAAACATTAAGGGAATGTTTTTCTTTAAAAGAATTATTAACTTTCATGGCGTTCACTAACAAAATATGTTCTTGGCAAACGATTCTCTTGATGAAATGATTCTTACCACATCTATTTAAAATGGCAAGCGTTACAGCTCATTAATCTTCTTCAGGTGTGTCTGATCATTATAATTGCACATTACAGACAGGACCAATCAAGAATGAATTAATACACTCCCAACAAAGCCTCGTTTTAAAAGGGTTTAGTAAGAAGCATCTCAGTCAGTGTTTATGTTTCCACTGCACAAAGAAAATATATGACAGTTTTATGTTCTTAGTGTATATGTACATACATTAATAAATCATTTAAGACTTTAAAAGTTCAAGCGCAGCATACATTTATGAATCAGCCCACTACCATGACAACACTATAAAGTGCGTCAAGTTCATGAAGCATTAAGGGAACATTCCATTTTATCATTTTGCAAACATTATGGGAATGTTTTTCTTTAAAAGAATTATTAACTTTCATGGCGTTCACTAACAAAATATGTTCTTGGCAAACGATTCTCTTGATGAAATGATTCTTACCACATCTATTTAAAATGGCAAGCGTTACAGCTCATTAATCTTCTTCAGGTGTGTCTGATCATTATAATTACACATTACAGACAGGACCAATCAAGAATGAATTAATACACTCCCAACAAAGCCTCGTTTTAAAAGGGTTTAGTAAGAAGCATCTCAGTCAGTGTTTATGTTTCCACTGCACAAAGAAAATATATGACAGTTTTATGTTCTTAGTCTATATGTACATACATTAATAAATCATTTAAGACTTTAAAAGTTCAAGCGCAGCATACATTTATGAATCAGCCCACTACCATGACAACACTATAAAGTGCGTCAAGTTCATGAAGTCGTGTGTGTGTGTGTGTGTGTGAGTGAGAGAGAGAGTGTGAGTGAGTGAGTGTGAGTGTGTGACTGTGAGCGTGTGTGAGAGCGTGTGTGTGTGTGAGAGTAAGTGGGGGGGTGAGTGAGTGAGGGAGTGTGTGTGTGTGTGTGTGTGTGTGTGAGAGAGTGTGAGTGAGTGAGTGTGAGTGTGTGACTGTGAGCGTGTGTGAGAGCGTGTGTGTGTGTGAGAGAGAGTGAGTGAGTGAGTGTGTGTGTGTGTGTGTGTGTGTGTGTGTGTGTGTGAGAGAGTGTGAGTGTGTGTGTGTATGACTGTGAGCGTGTGTGAGAGCATGTGTGAGCGTGTGTGTGAGCGTGTGTGAGAGCATGTGTGAGTGTGTGTGTGAGCGTGTGCGTGTGTGACTGTGAGCGTGTGTGAGAGCATGTGTGAGTGTGTGTGTGAGAGTATGCGTGTGTGACTGTGAGCGTGTGTGAGCGTGTGTGTGAGTGCGTGTGTGAGAGAGAGAGAAAGAGAGAGTGTATGTGTGAGAGCGTGTGTGAGAGTATGTGTGTGTGACTGTGAGCGTGTGTGAGAGCGTGTGTGAGAGTGTGAGAGCACTGAGCAAATTGAACCGACTCTTTGAAATGTCTGACTGCTGTTTTATTCATGTGGTTGTTTTGCCTTTTACTTCCAGACATTGTACTTTTAACGAGACTCATTGGCTCTATTTGACTCTCCATTGTCCTGTAGCTCCTGGTGGTCTCGGTGTGTTTTGATGTTGGGGTCTCCAGACGTCTACAGGGTGTTTACCGTCTGTACTTTGTCTTTATTAGTCCAGACGGATGAAGTGGGTTTTTATGGAAATTTCATAAATAGTGAAACACTTCACAACATGCCTGTAGACGTCCAGCACACCTGGACATTTTCCTGAGGTTGATCTCTGAACTTTGCAGGATGGATTTGTTTCCTACTAATAAGCTACGCTATACTCAAGAGCTCATTGTATTTTCTCTCTTCACAGTTTCTCATCATGCCAAACTGGGGTGGAGGAAACAAATGTGGCGCCTGCTGCGGGACGGTGTACCACGCTGAAGAGGTCCAGTGTGACGGGGGGAGTTTTCACAAGTGCTGCTTCCTCTGCAGTAAGTAACATATAAAAACACTTTACTGTTCAGCTAAATCTCATGATAATAGGTCCAGGCCACATTTCACCCCAAAATCAAAGGAAAAAATAAAGCAATTGTGTTTTGCATTGCATAAACAGAGCCTTTATTTTTATGACTTTATTTTATTTTTCTAAATTTAATTTTATTTGTAATGGCCATTTTTCAGTGGTGATACACATTACTGCATAAATAAATGAATGAATAAAAAATATTATAAATAAATCAGAAAACATCTGAACTTTGCAGGATGGATTTGTTTCCTACTAATAAGCTACGCTATACTCAAGAGCTCATTGTATTTTCTCTCTTCACAGTTTCTCATCATGCCAAACTGGGGTGGAGGAAACAAATGTGGCGCCTGCTGCGGGACGGTGTACCACGCTGAAGAGGTCCAGTGTGACGGGGGGAGTTTTCACAAGTGCTGCTTCCTCTGCAGTAAGTAACATATAAAAACACTTTACTGTTCAGCTAAATCTCATGATAATAGGTCCAGGCCACATTTCACCCCAAAATCAAAGGAAAAAATAAAGCAATTGTGTTTTGCATTGCATAAACAGAGCCTTTATTTTTATGACTTTATTTTATTTTTCTAAATTTAATTTAATTTGTAATGGCCATTTTTCAGTGGTGATACACATTACTGCATAAATAAATGAATAAAAAAATATTATAAATAAATCAGAAAACATATACTTAATAGTTATAAAAAATATAATGTATAAAACTCATATAAATATAAAGGATTGTATAAATGATGCCTCTTTATTTAATTAAATTTTATAATTATATTTTTTAATTTGATTAAATTGTTTAATTTAATTTGTAATAGCCATTAGTTTCGGTGGTGATTCACATTACTGCATTAAATAAATAAATAAACTAATTAAATACATTTTAAGATCAGCAAATGTATACTTAAGGGTTATAAAAAAAATAAAAAATTAATATAAATTATATAAATGCTGTTGTAAAAGTGCAATGCTTAAAATCCTTTAAATGTGCTTTGTTTTGTTAAGGCAAAATAAAAATAAAAATTGATTTTATTTTAAGTCACATATGAACTGGACATATTTTGTGTGACAGCATTTTTTTAAATTAAAATAAAAATAAAATAAAATTATAAAAATTCCTCCGTATTCAGCAATACTTTGCTGACTTGATTTGTCCTGCAGTGACCGATCCAAACAGCAGTGCTGTGTTTATGAACTCCGAGATGTTTTAGTGAGATCTCACTACGGCTGAATGCACATTCATCAGATTGGCACTTTGCTACCAAAACGACAAAAACAATGCGGCCCACAGCTGAATGAATAGTAAAGGGTGTCATCCACCCCACTGTGGAATCACGTTTGTCTCTGTGGGACAATATCCCACACTAAGCCAAAGTCAGCTGACAAAACCGAGTCAAAATCACATGATGTTGCATTCTAGCCTCTAATCATGGGGTTAACATGATAGATTACTAGTGGTGGCATGACTATTATTATTATTACTCGTACTTTTGAGTTAAAGGTTTGTTGAAGTCTCTAACTCCAAGAGATATATGTTATTTCTTTTTGTAAGCTGCATAACAACATACTAAAATCTATTTAAAAGCTGTTGCACTGCAGCAATGAGTTCTGCATGGGGAAAGCAGCAAAAAATCAGTTTTCTCTCCTCCAGTGGTCTGTAGAAAAGGGCTAGACAGCACCACACTGGCCATCCATGACCAGGAAATCTACTGCAAGTCCTGCTACGGTAAAAAATACGGCCCGAAAGGATACGGCTACGGTCAGGGAGCAGGAACCCTCAACATGGACCGCGGCGAGAGACTGGGCATCAAACCAGAAGAGTGAGCGTTTGCATTCTTATTGTTTTTCAACAAGAAGTTCATATGGATTGTACACTATAACTATATTATAATATAGTCCGTGTTGAATAATGAATGGTATGCACATAATTTATTGCATATGTGTCATAGTGGTTTGGTACATATACTAATAAAATGATTTTTTCTCAAGGCTGCATTTATTTGGTCAAAAATACAGAAATGTTTTAAATATTATTTTCGTTTGAAATAACTGTTTTCTAACTGAATATATGTTAAAATGTAATTTATTGCTGTGATCAAATCTGAATTTTCAGCATCATTACTCCAGTCTTCAGAGTCACATGATCTTCAGAAATCAGTCTAATATGCTGATTTGCTGCTTAAGAAACATTTCTGATTATTATCAGTGTTGAAAACAGCTTCATATTTTAGTGGAAACCATGATACATTTTTGTTTAGGAGTCTTTGATGAATAGAAAGTTGAAAAGAACAGCATTTTTTTTTTGAAAGTTGTTTTTTTTAAATAGAAATCTTTTGTAACCTTATAAATAAATATTTTCTGTCACTTTTGATCAGTATAATGTGTCTTTGCTAAATAAAAGTTTTATTTTCTTAATTTTCTTAGTCTTACTGACCCCAAACTTTTAAATGGTAGTGTATCAGTTTACACATCTGTTTTCAACATTGATGATAATCAGAAATGTTTCTTGAGCAGCAAATCAGCATATTAGCATGATTTCTGAAGATCATGTGACACTGAAGACTGGAGTAATGATGCTGAAAATACAGCTGCTCATCACCGAAATAATTGACATTTTAACATATATTACAACAGAAAACTCTTCTTTTAAATAAAATAAAATTATAAAAATTCCTCCGTATTCAGCAATACTTTGCTGACTTGATTTGTCCTGCAGTGACCGATCCAAACAGCAGTGCTGTGTTTATGAACTCCGAGATGTTTTAGTGAGATCTCACTACGGCTGAATGCACATTCATCAGATTGGCACTTTGCTACCAAAACGACAAAAACAATGCGGCCCACAGCTGAATGAATAGTAAAGGGTGTCATCCACCCCACTGTGGAATCACGTTTGTCTCTGTGGGACAATATCCCACACTAAGCCAAAGTCAGCTGACAAAACCGAGTCAAAATCACATGATGTTGCATTCTAGCCTCTAATCATGGGGTTAACATGATAGATTACTAGTGGTGGCATGACTATTATTATTATTACTCGTACTTTTGAGTTAAAGGTTTGTTGAAGTCTCTAACTCCAAGAGATATATGTTATTTCTTTTTGTAAGCTGCATAACAACATACTAAAATCTATTTAAAAGCTGTTGCACTGCAGCAATGAGTTCTGCATGGGGAAAGCAGCAAAAAATCAGTTTTCTCTCCTCCAGTGGTCTGTAGAAAAGGGCTAGACAGCACCACACTGGCCATCCATGACCAGGAAATCTACTGCAAGTCCTGCTACGGTAAAAAATACGGCCCGAAAGGATACGGCTACGGTCAGGGAGCAGGAACCCTCAACATGGACCGCGGCGAGAGACTGGGCATCAAACCAGAAGAGTGAGCGTTTGCATTCTTATTGTTTTTCAACAAGAAGTTCATATGGATTGTACACTATAACTATATTATAATATAGTCCGTGTTGAATAATGAATGGTATGCACATAATTTATTGCATATGTGTCATAGTGGTTTGGTACATATACTAATAAAATGATTTTTTCTCAAGGCTGCATTTATTTGGTCAAAAATACAGAAATGTTTTAAATATTATTTTCGTTTGAAATAACTGTTTTCTAACTGAATATATGTTAAAATGTAATTTATTGCTGTGATCAAATCTGAATTTTCAGCATCATTACTCCAGTCTTCAGAGTCACATGATCTTCAGAGATCAGTCTAATATGCTGATTTGCTGCTTAAGAAACATTTCTGATTATTATCAGTGTTGAAAACAGCTTCATATTTTAGTGGAAACCATGATACATTTTTGTTTAGGAGTCTTTGATGAATAGAAAGTTGTTTTTTTTAAATAGAAATCTTTTGTAACCTTATAAATAAATATTTTCTGTCACTTTTGATCAGTATAATGTGTCTTTGCTAAATAAAAGTTTTATTTTCTTAATTTTCTTAGTCTTACTGACCCCAAACTTTTAAATGGTAGTGTATCAGTTTTCAACATTGATGATAATCAGAAATGTTTCTTGAGCAGCAAATCAATATATTAGAATGATTTCTGAAGATCATGTGACACTGAAGACTGGAGTAATGATGCTGAAAATACAGCTGCTCATCACCGAAATAATTGACATTTTAACATATATTACAACAGAAAACTCTTCTTTTAAATTCGAATAATTTTTCATAATTTACCTGTATTTTTATCAAATAAATGCAGCTTTGCTGAGCAGGAGACACTTATTTCAAAAACATTAAAAATCACAATTTATCCTTTTGACCAGTAGTGTGTTATTGTAAGATTTCTAGAGGATTTTGTAAAGTCATTTGGTTCTGGAAGCAAATCCGTCCTCTGGTGTGTTCAGGCTCGCCGTCAGCTGATTATTGTTATGAAAGAATCTATTATGTAAGCAGAGCTCCTCTTCATACTCCCCCGACACAAAGCGGCTCATTGAGGGCCCCTCGTTAGGCTGCGCTCCAGAAAACAGCATCTGACCTCTCTGTCTCCTACCAGAACCCAAACTCACCGACCCAGCACCAACCCAAACCCGTCCAAGTTGGCGCAGAAGTTCGGCGGCTCAGAGAAGTGTGCGCGCTGTGGAGAGTCTGTGTACGCTGCAGAGAAAGTGATGAGCGCTGGGAAGGTGAGACGATCAGAGGGCAAGAACCAGACCTGGACATTATTCACATTTATATCCACATCAGTGTTTACTTTCTTCATGCACATACAAGCATAACCAGTGCATGTTAATGTAGTACATTGTTACAGCAATAATAACAAACCGTTTCCAATCACAGACACTCGAAGAAATGATTTCAAATATTTAGAGGATTAAGAAACCTGTTTCTTGATATTGATCAGTGGTTTTCAACCACAGGCCCAGGGATTTAATATAATTGATCTAATATAATAATAATTAAAAAAGAAAAACCTAACTTAATTAAAATGCTTAAAAAATAAAAAGCCTTCTGGAATCACATGAACTGTAGTTAATGTATCTATATAATCACTCTCAGATTTAGTTAATATATTAAAGTATATATAATAAAATTATCATATATTCTATAAATATGATATTCTATAAAAAAAATTATATATATATATATATATATATACACACTTTTTTTTAAACCATAAAAAAAATGAATGAAAATAGGGGGAGGGGGAATCAGCACATCAAAACTTGTGGCCAAGGAAATATTTCCCATTTTTGTTTAGATTAACTATTAAAATAATTGGATAAAACAATAATATAAAATAAACTCTCCTCTCCTCCCTCTATCTATCTATCTATCAAACATAACATACATAACATTTTTATTTGGGGTAAATTTAAATAAATATAATAAATTGTATAATGCAATTATGTAGTAGTTGACATCAATGGTTATTTCATGCTTTTATATTTTAAAGTTTTATAAACATTTTTATATATATTTTTTATTTCAATTTATGTGTATTTTGTTTCAAGTAATGGATTTTGTCATGTTTCTAGTTAATAATAATAATGATGATGATATTCAACTAATAAATATAGTATTATTACATGTGTGTTATGCATAGCTGATCAGATGGGAATCATAAAAAAAACCTATTTTGTTTTATTTAATTTTAGCTTGTTGCCACGGAAATTTTTCTCATTTTTGTTTAGATTAAAGTATTGCAATAACTAAAACTAATAAATAAAAAATATATATATTCTCTTTCCCTCATTTTTTTTCTTCAATTTGTATAAATATTTTTAGATTTTTAAATTTCAACTTTTTTTAAAAATATTTTTTCAATTAATGGATTTTTAAAAAATGGTTTTAGTCAATGATAACCCTGACATTTTCAACTAATAAATATAATAGTATTAAATATGTGTTATGCATAACTGATCAGATAGGGATCATGATTTCTCATTCTGTTGCGATCACACACACGAGACATCACCTGTATTATTCACGCTGAAGTCACCGGGTCAGAAGTTGAACACATTTATACAGACGTCAAGTTCACAGCGACTCAACTGACACTTTCTTTATGTCCTCCTGAGGGTTTGCAGATGCTTGTACAGATCTACTGCCAAAAAACCTCTTCAGCAGATGCGAGTGTTTAGCGTTTCGTCCAGTTTCTGTCTTTCTCGGTTTAATCACCAGGAAGTCATGAGCGCTTGATGATTTCAGCTGGTTATACTCCTCTTTTCTTTATCTGAGCTTCATGATGGCATGGTTTTCTTCTCATGTCTGTCTTCCAGCCGTGGCATAAGAACTGCTTTCGCTGTGCCAAATGTGGAAAGAGTTTGGAGTCGACCACTCAGACGGAGAAAGACGGAGAAATCTACTGCAAAGGTCAGATTTCTGTAGTTTAATTGGGTTTGACAATCCTGATCGAAATGGTCAGCGGTAATCTAAAACATTGAAGTGATCTGCTGTTCATTTACTCCCCCTCAGGCCATCCAAGATGTTGATGACTTTTTATTCTTCAGTAGAACAGTAAAGAAGATTTTTAGGTGAAACTGATTGCTGATTCATTCAGTGCAAGTCAATGGCTACCGGCACTTTTAGAGTCAAAAAAGCAAATACAGGCAACACAAGATGAATCCCCGTGGCTCCTGATGATATATTGAGGTCTTATGAAGTGAAACGATCAGTCTGTGCAAGAAACTGAACATTATTTACAGCATTATTACCTGCAATCCAGAGCCTGACTGAAGCGTCGGAGACAGTTCACGGCTCATTCAGCTCAGATCTACAAGTTACTCAATCAAAACTCGCTTTCAGACACCTGACAGTCACTCTGACCCGAAATGAGCCAAAATACCGGGTATCTGATCCTGTGATGAATGAACTGATTCAGTGCTCCAGTTCCTCCAATAGTCACTGAACTGAGGAAACAGTTCGACTCGGACCCAAGACTGATTTATTACGTTTATTCGCTTTAGACATGTAATCATTATTGGGTGCTTTAATAATACAACTGCATATACATTACATCATTGCGTAATTACATAAACAAACCACTGAATTGAACCATTGAAACGAATTGTTCGAAAGAACCAGTTCGCAGAAAAGAATCGGATTTCCTTGTTGCCTGATTCTCTGGATTACAGGTAATAATGTTGTAAATAATGTTCAGTTTCTTGCAAAGAGCGATCGATTCGCTTCATAAGACCTCAATATATCATCAAGAGCCACAGGGATTCATTTTGTGCTGTATTGTATGTGCTTTTTTGACTCTCAAAGTGACGGTAGCCATTGACCTGCATTATATGAATCACCAAAGAAGACCAGTTTCAGCTAAATTCAAAAAAAAAAAAAGTCACCTGGTTCTTGGATGAACTGAGGGTGATAAATTAAAAACAAATGTTCATTTTTGGGGGGCAAAATGTCCCTGTAAGATAAAGAATAAACTGGAATTTTCCATAAGGCATCATGATCAGCCTCTCAAGCGAGTGATTTTTGAGGCCAGTGTTTGTTTGCTTCTCTGTCATATACATACAGGACGTTTCACTGATAAGAGGGAGTAATATCAAAACCACAAGCTGAATAACTAGATTAACCAGAAACTCTTAAAGGATTACGATCAAGAGTTAACGTTTAATCTGCTTTAAAGACTTTCTGAACTCTTCGAACCGTGACAATGAAAGCTCATCAGTTTTGAAGATAAACCTCATCTATGACATTCAGTGCTCCAGTTCCTCCAATAGTCACTGAACTGAGGAAACAGTTCGACTCGGACCCAAGACTGATTTATTACGTTTATTCGCTTTAGACATGTAATCATTATTGGGTGCTTTAATAATACAACTGCATATACATTACATCATTGCGTAATTACATAAACAAACCACTGAATTGAACCATTGAAACGAATTGTTCGAAAGAACCAGTTCGCAGAAAAGAATCGGATTTCCTTGTTGCCTGATTCTCTGGATTACAGGTAATAATGTTGTAAATAATGTTCAGTTTCTTGCAAAGAGCGATCGATTCGCTTCATAAGACCTCAATATATCATCAAGAGCCACAGGGATTCATTTTGTGCTGTATTGTATGTGCTTTTTTGACTCTCAAAGTGACGGTAGCCATTGACCTGCATTATATGAATCACCAAAGAAGACCAGTTTCAGCTAAATTCAAAAAAAAAAAAAAGTCACCTGCTTCTTGGATGAACTGAGGGTGATAAATTAAAAACAAATGTTCATTTTTGGGGGGCAAAATGTCCCTGTAAGATAAAGAATAAACTGGAATTTTCCATAAGGCATCATGATCAGCCTCTCAAGCGAGTGATTTTGAGGCCAGTGTTTGTTTGCTTCTCTGTCATATACATACAGGACGTTTCTCTGATAAGAGGGAGTAATATCAAAACCACAAACTGAATAACTAGATTAACCAGAAACTCTTAAAGGATTACGATCAAGAGTTAACGTTTAATCTGCTTTAAAGACTTTCTGAACTCTTTAAAAAAAAACCCGGTTGCAAATACTGAACATTCACTATTTACAGATGGGGCGTCTTTCGGATGACAGGGTGATCACTATGTCCAGGCTTCACACATGCAGTGGAGACTTGCAAGGTCAAAGGTCTATACACAGCAGTGCCAGACGCCACTAAAAGCTACAGTCATACACTTTGATAATAGTCCATTTTTTTGTTTTTTCGCTTTTTGGTAAGATAAAAAAAATTAGGAGCAGCTTCAACTAACACAGACGAAAAAAACAAACAAAAAAAACAACGAAAGTCACTCACAGAATAATGAATCTAGTTAGTTTATGTACAGATGCACATTCTTTACATCAGTTCATCCTGTCAGCTGCTGCTGCTGCCACGACAACGCCACCAACAGGAAGAGGAAATGGAGGAGAGCAAAAGGGGGAAACGTGAAGATCCCTCGGCGACGCTGGGGAAACGAGCTCGCTTCGGTAACGATGAACAAAACGAAAAAAAAAAAAAGATCAGTGCATTGTTGTAGGCAGACGAATAATGTCGCTGCCACAAAAAAATAAAATAAATAAAATAAAGGTAAAAGACGGAAGGAGCCCCTCTGGCGTGTTAAACGGCATCTTCCTTTAAGTTCATACAGCTATCAGGTCCACTTAATGGCTTTTCAACAGCATTACAACTTTAAATGTATACACTTCCTAAAACTACTCATAGATAATAAATATAGAGGTTCACATACGAGAGTGTTATTTCTTGTAAATGCAGAGGGAACCTGGATTAATCTCATAAACGCATCAAGAGCTTGTCTGGGGCTCTTTCATTAAACAAGTTTACCAACTAAGCCAGGCTTATTACAGTTAGTCTGACTTATTTTGAACTAAATCGAATGACAATAACTAACTGAAATAAACCTGGCTTATTTGGTAAACTTGTTTTATGAAACCGATCAGGTCACATTTCAACCTAAAAAAATAAGTGTGTGCATATATGTGTGTATATAATAAAAACAAGTTTTTGGAATATTGCTTAAAATGGAGTTATCGGTTTTTGCAAATGAACTCTTCATACATATATATATATATATATATATATACACACACGCGCATACATAAAAAATTAAATAATTACATTTATAAAATTAACAAAATGATGTGCGTGTATATATATATATATATATATATTTGTTTTTAAAGTGAAGACTGTTCTGCATTATTGTAACGTTATATTGATGTAAATTCAGCACATTTCTCTTTCCCAGTGCTCATTACCATAATGCGTTCAGCCATTTTTGTTGTAATTCTCATTGCAATACAGTATTTCTTTTTGTTTTGCATTAAACAATGGCTATAATAAAATGATTTATATATATATATATATATATATATATATATACACACACACGCGCATACATAAAAAATTTAATAATTACATTTATAAAATTAACAAAATTATGTGCGTGTATATATATATTTGTTTTTAAAGTGAAGACTGTTCTGCATTATTGTAACGTTATATTGATGTAAATTCAGCACATTTCTCTTTCCCAGTGCTCATTACCATAATGCGTTCAGCCATTTTTGTTGTAATTCTCATTGCAATACAGTATTTCTTTTTGTTTTGCATTAAACAATGGCTATAATAAAATGATTTAAATAATAGCATAATTTAAAAGCAGTATAATATAAATACTTTGATATTTAAATACAGTAACGAAGAGGTTTTGTGCATGATGGTAATGAGAATTATGCAGAAAATGTATTTAATTTTCATGAAAACAATAATAAAATGCAAAAACGGGCTTCGTTTTCTCTAAACAAAAGACAATCTGATTATTTTTTTCGATTTTTGGGTGAAATATGACCCGGCTTCAGCTTCTTGACACGTTTCATAGGATTCACCCCACCTAAACTATTAAACATGCTGCAAATGTACATATATGCTAAAATGTAAAATGACCTGATGATACCATAATTACTCTTTGAAAAATACTACATAAATAGGTTAAAATAAATATGTTAAGTCACATTATTTAAACAGGACATCTAGTCGTATGAATGCGTGTCAATAGGATACCTGTTTTGATCTGATTCATGATCAGACGAATCAAGGCAGCTTAAATCGTTCACCTACCGTTTTTTACTAATCATCATGTCGTTCCAAACATAAGCGTATTACTTTCTCTGTAGAAAAAAACAACACTTTCTACTTGTATGGAAAAGAGCAGCCTGAACATTCTGCTAAATATCTCTTTTTGTGTTCTACGTAAGCAAGTCAGTCACATGGGTTTGATGCGACATGAGGATGAATAAATAATAATAAAAGTCTAATTTTGGGCCAGAACAATTCCTTAAAACCACAAACGCTATATCGCCTGATGCTTTTGCTATGCTAATTCTCATTCCTACACAAAGTTCCAGGTTGAACCAGGACTTGCGCACGACTAAGATCCGATATCTCTTTAAAAGCAACAAAAAAGGGGTCACAGGAAAAAAACAAGGTAAAACGAAAAGCAGTCGATGTGCGAAACAAAACACAAACGTCTCTGCTGACCAACTGAGGAGAGCCGGTTGTACTGCATCCGCCTCTGATGTCATTAAACTCCTCCTCTTCCTGTTCCTCGTGTCCCTGCGTCTCGGGTGGAGTTGGTGACGGTAACCATTGACAGCATGCGTTCTCCTGACTGGGTGAGGTTTGCAAGTCTTGGTGAAGGAGATGGTCCCCCTTGAGCAGCACTTCAGGAAAACCTCTCCCCTCTTCTCCTTCACCGCGCTACACCAGCTGGTATCCTGAGCCGGACGTCTGGTCGTACTCTATTGTGTACTGGGAGGTCCAGTCTACCACCACGGGCCGCAGCAGACCGCAGCAGCGCAGCTCGAAGAAATCTATGAGGTTCCTTATACAGCCGTGACTGAAAACAGAGGAGCAACGTTAGGGGAGCAACTTAAAAACAACCAATTCCAATGCTGTCATAGTTCTGACTAACAACAATTTTAAGTAATTTTGTTAGGTGGTTTGTCATTTTTATTGTTGTTTTGTTATTCATTTTGTAATTTTTATTACTTATTCAAATATTTCTAAACAGTTTTTATTTTATTTCAATTTTAGTTTGTTTTTAGTTAGTAATTTTAGTAGTTCAACTTATGTATTATCTAAAAGTTTTATTACTATTTTGAATTAGCTTTTAATTTTTTGAACAGCATTTATTTATAATGTTCGGTTAAATTTATTTTTTGTGCATTGTGTTCAAATATTTGAGTAGTTTTACTCAAGTTTTAGTTCATTTTATATAATGTTAAGTAATCTTAGTATTTAAATGTATTATTAATGTAAACTATTATTATCTGAAACAGTACTTTGAACTAGCTTTTCAATAGATTTAAATAGCACTTATTTTTAAAATTTCAGTTTAAATTTACATTTTTTTATTTATTATAATTTTTTTTTTATTATTATTATTCATTCAAACATGTGTAAATAGTTTTGATTTGGTTTTATTTCAGTTTTAGTTTTATTTGAGTAAGCAATATTAGTACTTCAACTAAGTTTTACATCTAATATTTATATTCTATTTCAAGTTTTTTTTTTTAATTATAAAAAAAAATGTTGGCATGTTGTAAGTAAATAGCTTATAAGCACTAAATCAACCAAGTGATTTGTCATCACTAAATTATATTATATACAGTATATCAGTACTACACCTACCATCAGCCACCCTTTTTCTATAGCTGTTAGCATTATCATTTTGGGGGATATTTGAATTAAAACATTCATTAGAGGTAATTCAAATCAGTCAAATTGGATCTTTCTATAAATTGTTGTGTCCAAACAAGCACTAGTAGGTACATTTTCGAACAGTAAGTATATATAGATTATATTCTACAGACTGTATTGATGATTAATATACAAAGCATACCTCTATAAAATTGATTTATTGTCACGGCCACTTGACAAACAAACCATCCTCCTCTAGATATAGATAAGCTGTTCCCAGCTCAACCTGAAATGAGTTTAAAGGACTCACTTGAAAGGGCTCTCGATGGACGTGGCTGTAACTTTAAAGTGCTTATATCTTCTGGCGTTCATGCGCTCGTTTGTTGTGATGCCCAGAACAGCGATCTATGGAGGATACATCAAACCACAAAAACACATCAAATCTGTTCCAAACCCTAGTGAGCCGACTCAATTTCCACAGGTTAACATGCAGACTGAAGCGGATTCCCAAGACCTAAACAAAGGCCTCTGGAAATGTAGCCTAGGTTGGCAGCTTTCTTGCTTTTGTAACAGATCTGGACTTGAGTGTGTCTTACCTGGTAGAGCTGGCACATGATGAGCACAGCGACCCACATGAAGTGAAACACACTGTTGAGAAACATCCAGAACATCCACGGTGAGCAGGTGGCGATCTGGGTGATGTAGATCCAAAAGCCGTCTTTAGTGTAGCTGGTGGCACAGTGAATCCTCCAGTCTGCAGAATTGGAGCACAATCATGTTCAGTTCATCTATATTATACATACGTATGCTACTAATGAAAAAAAAAAAAAAAAAGGAATAATTCAGGTCTCATTTGCTAATATTAAAGGGATAGTTCACCCAAAACCTTTACTCACCATCAAGTCATTCCAAACCTGTATGAGCTTATTTCTTCTGTTGAACATAAAAGAAGATATTTTAAAGAATGTTGGTAACCAAACAGTTGACGGTACCCATTGACTTCCACAGTATTTTTTTCCCATACTATAGAAGTCAATGGCTACCGTCAACTGGTTACACGCATTCTTCAAAATATCTTTTTTTTTACAGGTTTGGAACACCTTAAGGGTGAGTAAATGATGACAAGACTTTCATATTTGGGTGAACTATCCCTTTAATGCATTAACTAACATGAACTAACAATGAACTATATTTTTAAAGCACTTATTAACCCTATTTAATGTTAGTTCACAGTGCATTAATATTAACAGATAAAACTTTGATTTTAATGATGAATTAGTAAATGTTGAATCTAAATGCTGTTTAAGTATTGTTCATGCTAACGAATGAAACCTGTTTGTAGAGTGTTACAAAAATGAATACTATTTTCTTCTGAAATTGATCTATATGGATTTATCATCTCATTGATCGTATAAAACTATGCAAACCCAAGTGTACTTACAGCAAATGCATCCGTATATCATCCAACAGATCATACACAACAGGAAGAACAAGTAGCCCATAAAGTAACGGTGGTTTCCACTTCCTGTCCGCAAACAACGAGGAGAAAAACACAAGACAAATGAAAGGAATGAGTCATATCTGCCACTTTACATTCCCTCAACTATCTGCCTTTGGCTCAAATTAGTCCAAGATTTGGATTATGGGATGCTAAATGGGCTTTCTTCACAATAGTGAACAATTTCCTGGCCAATCTCTGACTTTTCATGTTATTGTCAGGTGGAAAAACA